GTGCGTGCGTGTGTGTGTGTGTGTGTGTGTGTGTGTGTGTGCGCAACGCACATTATTGAAATGTCACTGCTAAGTAAATCATAATTTTGTGAGTGATACATTCTTGGAAGCGTTCATATTAAACATATATATAAAACACACACCCGCTATTCTTAAAATATAATTTTTTTAAGGATAGGGCTCCGCCGTTGACCATTGTCAACAGCAAAACATGTTCTGCAAGTATTACTTCACCACACTTACACTGTCCGAACAGCGAAAGTTAATGTAAGAAAACATTATATATATATATATATATATATATATTTAATTACATATAAATACATCAATATCACAGAAGAAATGGGGTCAACTAACAGTCAAGCAAGCAATGCTGTTAAAATTGTAACTTGCTGGCTTAGGAGATGTAGGTAGGTAGCACAACATAACCAGCACTGAAGTTCTATTTCAGGCTGTGCCCAAGCCAAATCAACACCCACCATGTGCTTTGGGCTGTCCTCCAAAAGAATGCACAGCAGTATGTTGCAGTGATGGTGCAGAACTTTGACAGGTGAGCATCCATTCATAAGAGTAGATGGAGCTCAGGGTGACAGAAAAAAACCAACATATTGCGCTGTGCTCAGTCAGGACACAGTAGTAGCAAAAGAGCCTTTGTCTGAGATGAACGGGAAATTGAGTGACAGCACTGAGATTAAATTTCTCTTCATCAAAACCATTTTTTCCTCTTACTGCTTTAGACAGTGGGAACTCCAGATAGAAATGCAGTCTAGAAACAATGGTTACCGGGGAGATCCATGTACAGTTCTTTTTTATAAAACACTATTCACACATTATTGTCACTGAGAACTTACCCTAACGGAATCTTGTCTTCCTACATTGTTCTCTGTAGCTTGACTATGTTGTGCCTCTGATAAATACTGTCTGATTCCAAGAAACCTAGAGCTGAATTTTAATCTGCATTGCTGAAACCTTTTCATGGAGGAATTAACACATGATGAGGCGATGTCAAGGGTGAATCGATAATACTGTAAAAATAAAAGTAGCTTTTCTCGATAAATAAATATGGAGCAACTGTATGAATATGTATGCAGTGCAATATACAGAATGTGTGTTCCAAATCAAATGGGATCTGACATTAAATCAATTTTTAAAAAGCCACATCACTTGAATATTACAGTGTATGTCGATGCTATGAGCCTCCATAAATTACTGCTAAGGCCAAATCTTGAATTCTAACTGTCGAGCTATGGTGACCTTGACCCCTAATATCAACATGCATACTGAAAGGGGAGGAAACAGATCTACAATGATTGCCCAAAGGCCATTTAAATTTTTTGTCTGATTTTGTTTTCCGCACCTCACAATTTAAGAGATAGCTACCATTGTAAAAATATAGTTGTTTTTTTTTTTTGTGGTGGTGGTGGTGGTGGTGGTGGGGGGGTCGGTCAGGTTGGATTTTCTGCATATCTAGTGTACAGTGAATTTTACTTAATATCAATTCCCACTTCACTGAGATGAATGCAAATGATGAGGGAGGTGGTTATAGCATGGCGTGGATAATGATGTGGGAAAATTAATGCACATCTGACAGAAGCTGAGAAGGGTGGATGTACTGGGCAAATAAAGCCATGAATCAGAAATTGGCGATATGCAACGGAAACATATATACATATATATGGACAAGGGACTGAGTCTTACCTCCAACAAACTTCAGAGGACGCACCGCGGAGAGCGGTTCCCTTGGAAGAACGAGGTACACCTGCACCGGATCACATCGCCTGGAATCGAGACTGGGAACGGATTCACTTGACTGGGCAGACTGGTGAGATGCTTGTCGGCAGCTGTGTTACCGATTTAAGGCTAAAATACAATTGAGCTTTCTACTAACCCTTCGTTTGCTCCCACCCACTTTTCCATAGCGACCCACCCTGTGGGGAACACGTTTTACTCGTAGTTTCAACAACAAAAAGCCACTCGTACCATGTCACGTCAAAATCCAAGACGTCATGCCTACCCATCCCCTTCTCCAGTCGGGTGAGTACTGATTCTTTCTCTCGCCACTTGCCGTTTAACTTAAAATCGATATTGCCGGCTCAAGACGTTATCCACATCTTTGGATTGGAGATCTAATGCTAGCCTGTCGTCCACAACCAACTTGCCATCTTCAGGATGATTCTATTTTGCCGGGTGACTTCAAGCTTCGAAAGCAATTCCTTCTTCCATTACAGTCAATACCCCTTGCTCATAAGACAGAGTTCCACATAGGTTAACTAGACAGTGACAAAGCGGGTGAATGGAAGCTGCGTGGAGTCAGCGCAGGATGCAAGCGCGTTGACAACCGGCTGAATGACAACAAACCTTCTCCTTTGTCCAGGAAATGCGTCACTTAGACGGTATCCAGAGCGTGCTTGATTCGGGTCACCGTAATTGTTGGAAGGGGCGGGGCTTGAGCCTGTTTTATGTTCTGCGCTTCATGTTTTTGTCATCTTGATACCCGGATTTTTTTTCTTGCTGAATGTTGACTCATGTGTTATCTGTAGTCACATATTAATATATAAGAAGAATTAAGATAAGTCCTTTATTAGTCTCAGAGAGAGAGAGGCTGGAAATTGAATTTAATTACATTAGTGTTACAGCGGTACAGGGTAAAACAGCAGGATTGAAAAAATAAAATAAAAAAGGTAGCACAACACAGTTATACACTTTTTTTGGGGGGGGGGGGTTCTCCAGGTACTCCAGTTTCCTTGCACATTCAAAAAACATGCACAGAAGGTTAATGGAACACTCCAAATTGTCCCTAGGTGTGATTGAGAGCATGAATGGTTGTTCGCATATGTGTGCCCTGCGATTGGCTGGCAAAAAGTGGGTGTCCCCCGCCTACTGCCCGAAGGCAGCTGCAATAGGCTGCAACACGCCCGCGACCCTCGTCCATCCATTTTCTGATCCACTTTATTCTCACAAGGGTCGCCGGGTGTGCTGGAGCCTATCCCAGCCGTCTTCGGGCAGTAGGAGGGGGACACCCTGAACTGGTTGCCAGCCAATCGCAGGGTACAGTCAGAGAACAACCATCCACGCTCACACTCACACCTAGGGACAATTTAGTGTTCAATCAGCCTGCCATGCATGTTTCTGGAATGTGGGAGGAAACAGGAGTACCCTGAGAAAACCCACGCAGGCTCAGGGAGAACATGTGAACTCCACACTAGGAGACCAGAACTGGAATCGAACCCTGCGCCTCTGCACTGTGAAGTCGACGCACTAACCACTGGACCTATACGTTTACAATACAAATTGGACAGAATTATGTGTTTAAAAAAAAGAAAAGACTCTTACGACTTATTGTTTTACGACGGACGTCTGATAGCGGCATCTTGTGGATTTATATTCACGTTACAGATGAATTATATCACTGTAGTAGAGGGCGCTAAGAACAGCACAAGTTTGTGCGACAAGTGATGTTGCTGGCGGCCATGTTGCGTTGCCATTCTGATTTTGCTTCGCTTGAATACATGGATTTCTGTGCGATGTTTCTCGTTACGTTCTGTCTATACAGCGAAAAGCCACCGGGTGTGGCTTACGGTTATATCAATAAGTGTGGGAGAAGTGCAACATGCTCATTTCACTAGTAAGCATGCGATTATTATATATTTTTTCTTACAAGGTACATTTCCGAGTGCTACTCAAAGATTCGTCTGCTTCATGTTGTCAAAACCATCAATAATGAAAGACAACTAACTTCACTAGAGTAAAACACGCACAGATAGCGGTGTTTTCGGTGGAAAAAAACCCAACACATTACCAGTAACAAGAGCAACTTAAGAAGGCTTCCCTCTGGCTTCAATCGGGAGCGGCCAATTGTTATGCTGCATTCAAGGTAGTGGGAAGTCGGAACGTTTCGACCTCCGACCTGGAAAAGTGCATTCGAACGCCTCTAATCTGTGAGTTGCGAAATACCTCGACCGATTTCGGTGTGTCGTCCATCGAGAATGGGAACCCCCGTCAAATGCAAAATATAATTTACGATATTAAAAACATATTTACGTATTTCTTTGTTATATTACACTAATTTAGTTATTTGACATAACTACGTAACAGAGATATATTGTTATCTCCCTGCATTAAGTTATTTGGTGAAATGAATGAAAATGTATTCCTTTATATAAATTCAGGAAATTATGATTATGGTAAAATGTGTTTTTATGAACAAGAACAACATACCATCTATCGGAATCGAGGTTTTAATATTATATTGAAGACTGCACTGTATTGGAAAAATTCGAGGAGAATCGGTCCGATTTGGTTCGTGCGTGTGACTGCGGTCAGGTCAGCCTGCACTCGCAAAACTGAAGTCAAACCAGCCGCACAGCGATTGTGACTACTCTGCATTAGGGTAATTTGCCGCAAGCGAGCGGCGCTGGTGACTTTCAAAATAAAAGTGCACCAACTAATGCATGCACACCAGTGGTTTGGATTTAAAATGTGATAAAATAATTTCTTGGCTGTCAGGCAATGACGATTTTACCCAGTGAGAATGAAAACTCTCTCAGAATAGCGCCAAAAACCGTTGTGAAGATTTTTAAAACATCATTAAAAATGAATTTTAGTTGTCCCGTAAACCGTTATGCACGGAATTATCTCTGTGGCGGTTGATTTGTCTTCCGTTTTGCGAGTGGAGGCTGGCCTGACCACAGTTGCGTGTGTGTGTGTGTGCGTGTGTGTGTGTGTGTGTGTGTTTGTGTGTGTGTGCGGGCGTGCGTGCGAGCGCGAGCGCGAGATTTGAGCGCGTGCGTGCGTGCGTGCGTGCGTGTGTGTGTGTGTGTGTGTTTGTGTGTGTGTGTCGACGCGCGATCGAAAGCGAGGCTCAATTTTGTTAAAATAAATGATCACTCGGCAAGATTATATTGTGCAAACGAGTCTGTATGACTAACACATGATCAAACGCCTCTTTGACGTGCAGCACAGCACTAAATCTGTTGAGTAAATCAATAACATCCGTTTTATGCCTACTTTTTGAAGGGCGTCATGGGCGTCATTAGGCCTATTTTAGGGAGGCTTCAGCCTCCCTAAAAATGTCTTTAGCCCCCCTAAATAATTTCATTGCATTATTTAAAAAAAAGTCTTATTTATTTTTCCTGTACTTTTGCTAATATATTGCATCAAAATCAATGTAATGTGGCCATTTTAAATTATATTTCGATAACCTGCCATTATTGTAATGTTAAATCTCCCAGGTTTCCTGAACGCAACAGGTGTTGCGTTAGCATTTGACGTGTCTGTCACCATCGCCACATCAAATGCTAACGCAACAACTGACAGTTCATTGCCGAAAGTCAGGTTGAGTCGACAGCATGGATCTTCGACAATTTTTTAGAAAGGTAAATTAAATATTCAATGCATCCATGCTGGTAAAACTAGTGACTATAGTCCGCTAAAATATCTCCAGTAACAGCAGAAACTGCACTGTAACAAGTGTTCACTTTTTGATAAATTAAGGCGGTGCTTAATAAAAATTAATCAACATTTTATTATTAAATACATAAATAATCACTACACCAACTCTTTGAGGCAACACCTATTGAGATTTTGGCCTATATAAAATAAATAAATAAATATAAAATCAATTTATTTATTTGATAGGAATCAGGCTAAAGACGCACAGAGAGTGAGCCGGGGGGAGCTCTGCTGGACAGGTGAGTCTATCAGATCTCAAGGCTAATTTTACTTGCAAGGCTGTTCCCAAAATGCAATCGGAGCTTACAGTAAGTATTATTGAGAAGCAAACTTGTGTTTTTCCAAAGTGATGAAGCTTTTGCATTTCATTGTACTAATTTAATTGCATATCACGGCAGACATCTCAAAATACATAGTCTTCTGGGGGCTAAGCATATATTAATACATTTTGGTAGAGAGGAATATAGGACTACTGTCATATAGGTTATGTTATCGGGCATCCTTCTAATTCCCTTGAACAACCAAGATTGAACTTTTGAACTCTTTATAATTTCTATTATCTAGTCCAGTTAAAGTCCAGGGGAGGAAGCCCCATCATAGTAAAGAGGATACTAATGTGATGTGTGTAGTTCTTCATAGCCTCTTCATTTTGCTCTCAAAGTGCACGGAATTGATGGATTTTTAACAGAATGTAGAAAAAAAATTCTCCCGGGGGGGCATGCCTCCGGACCCACCTAAAGGGGCTGTGTTCCCCTTGGGGCTAAGCCCCCCTTGTTCTTGAAACCTAGTGACGCCCCTGAAGGGCGTTATCAAAGTACAAATTCGACAAATGTTTAGACTTCTTGGTGCTATTCTGAGAGACTTCTCATTCTCCCCGGGTGAACTCATCGTTGCCTGACAGCCAAGAAATTATTTTATTACTTTATTTTAAAAATAAAACACTGACGTGCATGCATTAGTTGTAGTGCTTTTATTTTGAAGGCAGCCAACGCCGCTCGCTGGCGGCAGATTACCGTAATGCACAGTATTAACAATCGCGCTGGCGGCTGGTTTGACTTTAATTTTGCGAGTGTAGACTGGCCTGACCGCAGTTGCGTGTGTGCGTGACACTGCGTGTGTGTGTCGACGTGCGACCTAAAGCGAGACACAACTTTGTTAAAATAAATGACCTGTCGGCAAGGTTATATCGTGCAAAGAAGTTTGCATTAATAAAACATATGGTCAAACGCCTCTTTGACGTCAGCGGAGCACTAAATAGGTGAGTAAAACAACAACGTCAATTTTATGCCTACTTTTTGAAGGGGGTTTATCAAAGTACTAATTCGAGAAATGTTTGCAGTTTTATATCGCGTGCACTTGATTTTACGAGAAATTGCGAAGTGATTATTTAAATTGGGACATATTTAGTGGTGCAAAGAGGTAAAACGGAAATACGCGAACGCAATGAAACACGAAAACAGTGTCACTCAAATATAAGCGAGTTTGTGTGGCCCGTCGAATCACCACTTTCGGGAGACATTCGGCGGCGGATACACACTAAGCACAGATATTGTATTTTAAACCAGGCGAGCGCCTGGCCACAGCGCTCAAGCATGCACCTTGCTTGAAAAGTCAAATCGGATAATTTTCCTCAACAAGAACTGTTTTTGAATTTTTTCAGCACAGGCTTATGATTTGGGCGGGGTTGCCAAGTACTCAGAGAGGACAATGATCTGTGTAAAACTGTAAATATGTTTTCATGAGGGTTTCACAAATTATGCTCTTGTGAAAGTGCAACCTTCCCCATTTGAAAAGTACATTAATATAATTGTAATTGAAGTTCAGGAGGTTTGATCTTCATACTGGTTTTAAAACCCCTTTTGAAGATTCATAGTACATAATAAGTCAAAAGTATGGACTTGAAATTCAAAGAGGAGTTGAAATTATTTAATCCAAAAATAACACTCTTATACTTCAACAAGTGGTGTCAAGTCTTTTTCTTTCCAGGTCCACATATAGAAAAATCAAAGGAGGCTCAGATCCATCCACCCTTGCCCTGAGCAAAACAAATCACATTTCCACATTTAAAACCATAACAGAAGTGTTTTGTACTAAACCGACCTTGGAGTCATGGATTTATGGAATGATGTGTGATTGGCTGAAAACCAGGATGCGAGAGAATGAATTTCTCTTCTCCTGCCTTGCCACAGATTTTGGAAATGGAAGCACTGTAGTACAATGCAGGCAAATGACACTGGCCGTGTTAAATGTTCGTTTTAGTTTATGCCGCAGGCCGCTAATAAATGGATGGCAGTAGTTTGGACACGCTTGATTTAAATCATGCAAACGTTTTTTGACTCGGCCTGCCCCCTAAAAGAATCAGACTATGTGCAAATTCAAACAAAGCCTTAAACTACTTTCTACTCAACGTGTATTCTAGGGCTGCCAAAATTAGTCGATGACGACGTCGACGACCAAAAGCGTCGACAATTAATTTAAGTCCTCGACTAGTCAATATTATTTTTGCAGTTTTGTTTCTCCCCTGAAAGCGGCATCTGTGACTCCCGCCGCCCAGTCTGCATTTTTTTGTGCCCAGTTGACGCACATGCGCAGTAGCGTTGATCCGGGCCAGCTGTGATGCCACTGGCAAAGCTACGCCTACACCCACCAGTCGGAATGAACAGGATACAGTCAGTGTAGTATGCTAATGCTATAATGGCTAACCGTCATCGGACATCGAAAGTTTGGGAACATTTCAACGAAGACGTCAGAGCGAAGAATGTGCAATGTAGAATATGCAAAGTAGAAATTGCCTTTCATGGCAGCACGACGGCAATGCGCGAGCATTTGCGACGGAAGCACCTTTTGTCCGATTCTATTTCTGACGACGAGGGACAGTCGTCTCGGATTCTGTAAACAGCTTGTCTGGTTAGCTTAGCTGCTAACATTAATGTCAACGTGAGTGAGTTATTCATAGCTGTAGAGTTGTAATGTAAACTTTAATATGATCTTTAGAACAACAATGACATCAGCACTTATCCCACTGTGTGTATTGCAAACATCGTTACAGCAATGCTATAACTGAATAGGAAATGTGGCGACGATGTTTTTTTTTAACGCTACCTCCATCCCGTCGGAGCGGATCTTCACTGCAGCAAGGAACATCTGCGCTCAAAAGCTAGCAAGCGTTCCGCCAGAACACATAGAAATGTTCACCTTCCTGGCAATGAACAACAGAGTACTGTAGACTAAGATGAGAGGTGGAACGTAGTACAAATTGTGAGCACTGAGCACAAAATGAACTTTTTCATTGTCTTTTATTGAGACGAAAACTTCATTTTTGTGGAGAATGTACTTTTCGATTTCGCTGTCTACCTCATTTGGTTTTGAAATATGATTGAATACTTTAAAGATGTGTTTAATTTTGTTTTCTTGAGCCCAAATTTACTCAGATGGTAGCACAGTCTTGTAAATGTAAAAACAGAATTTATAAGGCATTTAAGGCAATTGAAGTTAAAATGTATTTTTATATGACGATAATTTGTATTCATAACAGTAATTGGTGTGTATACTGTAACTATGCAGTTTTTTGTTCTATGTTTAAATGCACCTAACATTGTTATAAATGTTAAAGGCAACAGTACTTAACTAAAAGTTCAAATATTGTACTATCAGCATAATTGTCTTTGTTTTTAGATTGCCCAAGGAATGCTGGAAATTGAATAAAATTTGAATGTACGATCATAATTTTCTTCATGATTAATTTTTACATACCTTGAGGAATTCAAGATGTCAGATAATGGTCTATAAGAGGAGCTGCTTGCTAGTGCTGTATGCTGTGATTTGCATACCGTCGCCCTCTTAAAATAATGGCTTAAGTCATTTTAAAAAATCTTAAATATCGGCTACATTCAAAGTTAAACAGATCATTTATTTATACACCTGAAATGAAATCAGAATCTGGTAAAAAAAAAAGTTTTCTGGGAAAAAAAAAGACTGAAGCAGTTACTTTAGGAGGCTGACGATATGATCCGATTTGTCGACTAATCGTGATTACTGTTGGTGATTAGTCAACTACTAAAATAAGCGTTTGTTGCAGCCTGACTGTATTCTGAAATACTATACTACATACGTGTACGTCTGTGTGTCTCAAGTTGTGATGATAATGTTTAGCTTGCTGATTCTTCTTGCCAGTTTTGCAGATAACGTCGTCACATAACCTCCAGCCAGAGGAAAGATGGACCCTCATTGCAGAAGGCACGAGCGAGGCAGCAACTGGACAGACCAAGAGATCGTGGAGCTGCTCCAGCTGTGGTCCGAGGACTCCATCCAGATAGAATTGGAAAGCTCATTGCGCAACCAGCGTGTGTTTGACCGCATCGCACTCATTCTGCGCGAAAAGGGCATGTTCCGCACAGGCGACCAGTGCAGGGAGAAAATTAAAAAGATGAAGCTGGAGTATCGTCGTATTAAGGACAACCACAAATCGAGATCTTGGAAATTTTACGATGTGATGGATCGAGTTTTAGCTAACCGACCGGCTCTCACATCATCCACTCAGGGTGGAACATTTGTTGCGCACCATTTGTATCAAAGCCCAGATAGAAGTGACTCATTGCAGGGGAATTACTCCCTAGGCTCTTTTGGTCCAGCTACTTCGGGTGGGTTTCTATTTGGTCAGCCCCCTAAAACTGAAGATCCACTGGATGTAAAATGTGAGGATGCTGAGGCAATCCTGCTGAACACTGATGTTGCACAACCAGATCTGTGTTCCAGATCAGGAGATGAACCAGAAACCGATGGAAGATCTTTACTCGGAACAGAGGATATACTCGCTCAAGGCGACAATTCTGCTTTTTCAAAAATTTCCCCTTCAGGTTGTTTTTTTTTTTTTAAATTACCGGTACATTATTTTTTACAGCAGACATTGCATCACAACATTATTGACACTTGTGAAATTTTAACTGAAAACTGTACAAAGATAATGTTACATTTTGATTGAAAGGGTCAGAGCTTTAGTAATTTAACATTGATTCCGTTTACATGCAAAAAAAAAGTCAACCTCTGCTTTGTGGATTTTGCAAGTATATAATTTTTCAACATAACAAAAAACGGATCAAAGGATAAAGGAGGAACTTGGTCTTCCTACGCATTTAAACGATTTGTTCTCAATGTTTAAAACATTTGAATTTTGACCTTTACCTGAATACTCTATTGACGGCATGTAAATGTAGTCAGCATTAATTATTGTGGGTATGGTTTGCAACAATAATATTACTCCGTCCTGTGAGGAATTTAAAGGATATTTTAGGTTGAAGTTAAAATATCACATACAGTTCAACCACTATAAGTGCTTAATAGTACTTCTCTTTTTCTAACGGTGGAATTTTCTGCTAATTGGAAAAATTTGTTTTCATAGAGCCCGTTATGCTTCGTTCAAACCGAAGGCAAAGTGTCATTTCACCTCACATTTCTTGCAAGAGTTTGATAGGGGGGATGCAAACATAACTCCTCCATTGAGGCCACGCCACAACGGAGAAAAAGAGATGCTTCCTCATGTGACAGAAAAAAAAAAAACATGTTTTGAAACATCGCTTCTCAGGATGCTCTGGTTTCCTCCCACATTCCAAAAAACTTGCGTGGCAGGTTAATGGAACACTTTAACTAATCCCTATAGGTGTGACTTTTACCACTAATGGTTATTATATGTGTATGTTTGTCCTGCAACTGGCTGGCAACCAGTTCAGGCCCGTCTACTGCCCGAAGGCGGCTGGGATAGGCTCCAGCATGCTCCGTGAAAACTTGTGAGGATAAACAGATCAGAAAATGTGGATGGATGGACGCAACATGGCTCGCCTATTCGGTGGCCGGTGGTTGTGCTAAGATTTTGGCTTATGTCAAATGCTATTGATAGCTGGGGTTTAGATAAGCAAATGTTGCAAATATTTGTCCACTGTAGGTTTGTGACTCCCCTTGAGACACTTGTAATTAAAACTCCTTCACTGCCAGCCATTTTAGAGCATTTTGACACCAACAGGATTTTTTGGCAATGATTATATATACTAAATTAGAGAATAGACCCTCTCCTTTCACTTGAAAAAAAAAGTTTGATTCTGCCTTTTTACATTTTTTTTTAATAGCCATTTCTCCAAGTAGACTCACAAACAGTGGACTGACGAACTGTACTGATCTCATATCTAAAATGGGGCATCGACTGGCGGTTGTGCATCACTAAAGCTATTTCCCAGTTTGAAATTTACAGTAGAGTAGCATCATATGCTCTCCCACCCATTACTGTTGAAAAACAGAAATTGACTTGTCAATGGCAATGATTTAATTAAGGGCTATAAATATAAACTTGACTTGCTAGTTCATCGGCGTAACAGGTAAATACAACAGTCTCTCACTACTGAGGGAAATGTAAACAAAGGAAATGTTTCAACCAATATTAATCTATTTTTTTGCTGCTTGTCCTCATTAGGTTCACAAGTGATGTGTCTCATGTCCAACTACACGCTGACATTGGGCGAGAGGCAAAATAAACCTTGAAATGGTCATCAGCCATCGCATAGCACACAGACAAACATTTCACACTTACATTCACGCTTATGGGAAAGGCATTAATAAATCTAACATGCATGTTGTTGGAAAGTTGGAGGAAGCAGGAGTACCCAGAGAAAACCCACACAAGGGCAGGGAGAATGTACAAACTCCACTCAGCCGGACTCAAGATTTGGAGTAGACTTTACACAGATCTGATCCGCAGGATCAAATCAATGGCATCATTGATCAGATCTGCAAAATTAGCACAAACGCAATCCCATTCACTCCAGGGGCATTCTGTGCTGCCATCATTAATGATCCAAGGTTTCTTATGATCTAGAATCAGATTTTTTTTCCCCAAAAATGTTAATTTAGGCATTTAGTTTTGGGGTGGTCAGTTTCCCTCCATTTTCCGTGTATTGAATAGTTATCGTTTTTCTGAGAAATCTTAGGGCTCAATCAATTATTTTTTTTCCTCAACACGCAGGGTCAGCCTGACATTTTTTATAGCCCCCCATCACTCACCAAAGCAAACCAAAACAAACAAAAAAGACAATTGTTTTACAAAAAAATATTTTTTTCTTTTATGCATGTGAGGTAATAATATTGATGTTTAGAGTATTTGAACTACTCATGCTTAGCATTAACAATATTGAGAACACTAATAACGTGCCGCAAAATATTAATATGCTTTCGACAATTTTAATTCACTCAACATCCAACTAGGATTAAAACCCTGACAAATAAAGTGGAAAGGCAAGTAGCATTAGACTATGAATAGCAGGGGGAAAAAACAACACCATTTGGAGTACTGTTATTCTCGACAAATTATTTTAAGACCCCTTTGCGGCCCAGCTAAATAATAAAAAAACATTGAGAATGCATCACCATCAAGTCTGTCAGAGATAGGAATCAGACAAAAGAGGGCAGCAGTGGGAAGGAGTGTCGATGCCTGGACTTACTTGGAATTATTTTTTCATTTTACAGTAATTGATCATTGCTTTGCATTTGATCCTATAGGCCTACTGTCTTTTCCATGTTAAGAGTTAATAGAAACTACTGTCATGATACTCTATGCTTTTCTCGCATCCACAGGTTTAACTGACCTGAACATTGCTTCGTCTGCTTCCCACTTAGGCAATGTTCCTGTGCCACATGACACATCTCAGGAGAGCCTCCCTTCCCCAGCTGCAACAAAACAGAGGAGACGTCGTAAGGCAGGCAAAACCGTGTGTGGCCATGGAGGTGGAAAGTGTTGCAGCCAGGGCCCCCTCAACAAAGCGCTTGCCAACCTCCTCGTGTGGCAGCAGTGCGCTGAAGATCGCCTCCTCTCCTGGGAGGAGGCACGGCTCGAGAAGGAGTTGCAAGCTGATGAGCGCAGACAGCAGCAAGAAGAGAAGAGAGCGGAACGGGAGCGCCAACATGAGATGCACCTGTTCAACATGCTCACTGGGGCGTTAACTGCAGTCAGACAGGGTGCTACGACCACCGAAACGGCACCCACTAACACCGCCGTCTCCCTGCTAGACCATCAGTCAGCTTTCCTGGCGACATCAACGGCCTCCTCTGCCCCATCCTCATCTCAGCCACATACACAGGCTCCCTCCGCACTCGCTGTTTCCACTAAGGCGACAATGAAGTCGGAGCTGCACCCATCAGTCAAAACCTGCACATCTTCTGAGAGTGTGTTGGCAACTGTGAGAGGTGCGAAGTCTCCTGAGGCCAGCGTGTACCTGTCCAATCGTGGTAACAGTATTCGACAGCAACAAGGCATCCTCCAGGCAGGCTTTGCTCACTATGGAGCAAACAGATATGACATAGACAACCCTAACGTGAGTCAACTGTTCCACAGTGCCGGTAACATTTAGCAGATAGGTTTTAGAAACGCAAAAGTCATTACATCTCTCTGTGCCCCGTGTCCCAGGGTGTTATCAATTTGGGCACAAGCGAGAACAAGCTCTGCTATGATCTTCTTCATAAAAGGGTAATACGTGCTGGGATTTATATTTTGATGAACTTTGTCATGCATTAATACAGTACGAGACAGTACAGTTTCACTTTGCTTTCCAATGCAGTTGACCCGATCTGACATGCTACATGTTGACCCAGCACTGTTGCAGTATGGCGATTGGAGAGGACATACGTTGTAAGTGATTTGCCTTTATTTTGAATTTAAAAAAAAAAAAAGGACAATTTCTGAATAATTCTATTTCAATCTTGTTCTTTCAGCCTGAGAGAAGCGGTTGCCGAGTTTCTAACTCACTATTGCCATTCTCCAAAGCTATTGAAAGCTGACAATGTAAGTGGAATTCATTTCATAATGTAATGGTTACTGGTTAAATGTTTTCTCACCATTTCATTACATTTGCAATGACTTCATGTACATGTGCAATATAGATTGTTCTACTTCACCTCTACCTTTTGTGAAATACATCAATGGTGATCAGATCAACAATTTCAGTTAAATGAAAAAAATTGAAAAGTGAAATGAGATTGTTCTACTTCACCTCTACCTTTTCCTTTATACATCAATGGTGATCAGATCAACAATTTCAGTTAAATGAAAAAAATTGAAAAGTGAAATGAAGTTTATAGGATTTACCGAAAGTGTGCAATAATTACTTATAATTACTGTGCAATACTTACATCAATACAGCAGTTTCATTATTACAACATAAAGAGGTTTTGTCATGTTATCATACAGTAGTCATATAATTTCATTCAACGTGTCATAGTTTCCTGACTTTGTCTGGCAAACATAAACAGTTGACATTGTTAGTCTTGCAATTGAATGTTTATGCTCTTAAACAGCAAGAGATTGGGGACTTGCATTTTGAAGAGGTGCAACATACGTGTTATCGTGCTGTTGTTTTCATGTGCATGCAGATTGTGCAGGAGACATACAAGTACAATGGCAGCTGGAAAGAAGTCAGGATCCAGACTATCATATCACCATCAACCAGTTCCAATTAGTGTTTGGGCAGCTTTATTTGGGGTTCTTTGACAATTTGACAATAAAGTTGTATTCAATTCAATTCAATTCAATTCTTCGTTTGACGTTGATTGACATACCGATAGCATGCCTTCTTGGCTGTCGCCTCTAAATATGACTCGGTAAATTAGCACTATTTGCTGTATTGAAGAAGACTGAGACTAGTGAATGTGATTAAAAATGAATGAGGAAATTGTTATTGGTGTAATTTTCATGAGAGGAATTACCCCACACTGGCTTTGCAGGCTGTAGGCAATTCTCCAACTAATTTAAATTGAGAGAGAGAAAAAAAAAAACAAGGCCACACGTTTGTTTTTGTTTTTTTTTTTGCTTTTTTATAGCTGATGTTGCCAATTGAGTTAATTTGAATTTCTTGATTGGCCAAACTGCCATTTGCTTCAAGTTTAGCAACTTAATTAATTTGTGCATCATCAGGCCCTCCATGGTGACAACAAGGTTATTTTTGGCTGTGAAATAACGCGGTTCATTTGTGTACTTATTTCAGGTTGTGGTGATGAATGGATGTAGTGCCCTCTTTTCGTGCATTGCAGCAGTCATTTGTGACCCAAAAGGTAAGTTTACAAATGTATATAATAAGCTCTTACTGTCACTGTGCTCGCTGACAACTAAAAAAAACACATTAACCGCTGGAAATTGAGAGTTTGAATGAACCAGAGTGGCCGGAAATATAATTTTAGGAGGTGCGTATTCACAAAATAGGGGAATGAAGTCTGCTATTTGCCATTTAAAGAACTAAACCCAAGATGTCAAGACTTGTACATATTTTATTTATCAGCAGCTGTTCGTTGTGCATATATGTGTGTGTGTGTGTGTGTGTGTGTGTGTGTGTGTGTGTGTGTGTGTGTGTGTGCGCGCGTGTGTGTGTGCGCTCGTCGCTCTATGGTGTAGAGAGAGAGAGAGAGAGAGAGAGAGAGAGAGAGAGAGAGAGAGAGAAGTTTAAAACGTTCTATCCACCTTCTTATTCTCGCCTATGGTCTTTTCACTCTCCCGAGGGTGCGAATTGATGAAATGGTGACGTGTTTGCCATTTCCTCCCCTGCTTGTTTACGAAGAATGCCAAGGAGTTAGTAAAGAATAAACAACTCTCCACCGGCGCTTCTGGCTTCTGGTCTGCAGCTGATAATGATTTCACTCAACAATAATCAATCACTGTAAAAGGGCACCACCCTTTTACATTGATTGATTATTCTGTTGAATTCTTATTGCATAAAAGCTGTAATAGACTAACGTGACTGGTGCTGGAACATATATGGTATTTTCTTTACATTTTTTAAAAGTTTTGTTCCCCTTTAAGCACTATACATTTTGCATTTTACTAGAAAATGTTTCCACCTCCAGTGTCCAAGTGGCATTGTATATCAAAACAATGTTTTCTTTTTTGTAGATGCCATTCTCATTCCTAGCCCTTTCTATGGTGCTATTACTGAGGACGTGCAGTTGTACAGTGATGTCAAGTTGTTCCATGCCCCTCTCGAATCTGAGGTAGGAACACACATCTTGGATTAATTTGCTTCATATCAACAGTAGATATCCAATTGAACCCCTGAATATTAGTGATACGGCATTTGCAAATTCACCTATCTTGACAACACTCACCCCTCATCCACCACTTGATCACTTTTTTTTTTCAGATCCCTGCTTATTTGCATTTTTCCCATATTTTTAAAATTACAATTATAAGGGAATGTCAATTATTCACAAATTTTCCCTATCCGCAAACGGACTCCATATTCCCACAGACATCGGGGGTCCCTTATACTGCCATGATTATACTGTGTATAGTACAATCAGCTACACTCTTTCCACTTTAGCTCCAGTTAATGTGATACAGCGGGCTTTCTGTTGATGCTGAGACCTACCTTCTTTTTCTGAAAAACATTTATAGGATGGTAACGAAGATGGTCGACTTTTTCACCTCACCGTGAGCAAACTGGAGGAAGCTATGCAAAGAGCTAAGCAAGAGGTAATCTACGCATCCGTTTGCTTCACGGTGCAATTCTACAGCGAATTCCAGAAGCACAAATCCTGTTTCATTGATGAGCAACTGTCGCTTTTCAAATAGGGGGTGAACATTCGGGCTATTATTCTTGTGAACCCTCACAATCCTCTTGCTGAGATCTACACCCCAAACGAGATGCTTTCCTTCTTGCAGTTTGCCAAAAGGTGTGTTTTGCCTCTCACTTCATACATGCTTTTGGTAAAGCATAACATAATTTATCACTGAAGGTAACATACAGCAGATATAAAAATTCGACACACCCCTGCAGAATTGCCAGGCTTTTGTGATTATTGAAGAAAAGCGTTATATAAGTGACAGCACATTTACATATTTAGGTTAGAAAAGGGGTAACCCAGGAGTCTTATTTGGGTTTTTAAAAGCCCCAATCTGAGCATATTCGGGTTTACATGGCCAAAACACGCCATACACAGCTTGACATTTTACGGTCGATAGCCTCTGTCTCACGAGAAGTGACACGTGTCCTTCATGTTGTTTTAACAGCCTTCTTAAGAATCAGCATAAGATAAGATAAGAAATCCTTTATTCGTCTCCCAATGGAGAAATTCCCAATTCACAGCAGCAAAGTTATGAAAGGAAGAAGTAGAAGAACAAAATATAGGAGCTGCCTGAAAGGCAGCCACTCTCGCGGCACCATCTTGAAGTCAAAATAACAAAATAACACAACACAACACATAAGACACAGACAGTTGTGCAATCTTAATCACCTTTCCTGCATACACTTTGTTGTTTGAAGCAGTTATAGATGAAAGAGGAGAGGATCGTATCGTCATTTTCAGCAATGTGATCCAGAAGGTCCTGACATTTTTGTTTTGTAAGTGGCCTTGCCAAGAAAAAGGCCAGTGTAGACCTTCACAGTCACTCGGCTGCTGTAACCATGAATCACAGTGGGGTTTTTTTTCTACTTGTGTAGTATGCCTCTACTGTAGGTCATGTTGTCTTTGTTGTAAAACAGTTGTCATACTTTTTGCGCTATATGTGGCTATTCTGCGCTAAATCGCTGTGCCGTCTGCTTTAGAAATGAGATCCATGCCATCATAGATGAAGTGTACATGCTGACAGTGTTTGATGAATCAGTAACATTTCACAGTGTCCTCAGTCTAGAAAGGTACGGTGTTAACTTCTCCTCTTTATTATTACTCATGTGTACCCTTTATCATGGTAATTATGGCTGAAGATCGCCTCTTAACTGCTAATGATGTGCCCTTATTTCAGTTTGCCCGACCCACAGAGGACACATATAATGTGGGGGCTGAGCAAGGTACGTGCTTGTGCTGCTTCACATTATGCGGTCGACTTTTTTTATTTTATTTTTTTTAATGACTCCTGACAGAACTGTAAATTCTCTGCTTTTCCTTTACGAAAGATTTGCTGTCAGTGCTCTTTTGCTTGTTGAATTCATCTTGCCCTTTCCAGGACTTTGCAATGGCTGGAAACAGGATAGGCACTCTTTATACTGAGAACCAAGACCTTGTGGAGGCTTTGACCAAATTGGGCTCTTTCCATGGTGTTACCGGGACATCTCAGCATCAGGTTGCACAACTTCTTCAGGACAGAGGTATGGGTCAATGCCTTGTGAAAAATCTGCCGTTGTAGTTTTACCCTAAATATTGGAAAATGTATTTATTTTATTTCTTGCACAAAACCTGACAATTTTTAGTGTGACCTCTCTTCCTTTTGAATTGCTTGCATGACAAATGGCGCATACTGGATTGTTCCAGTGAGGTTGTCAAGTCGGTTGATGAAAGCATGTGATTGACATGTTATTGAATGGTTTGTTGTCTTTTCTAAACCTTAGATACCTTTTTTTTTTCAGGACAGCTGCTTAACGACCACTCAAATATATGAATAACTCAAATTATTTCTTGAAATAGAAATTGTATGCTACACCCTCACATTTATTTTACAAAGCACCAATTATAAAAAAATCATCTGCATTTGCATTTAGAATAATACATTTTGTTTTAGCCTTTTTTGCCAACGCAGCATACGAATGGGTCCTTGATAGATGGCAAGGGTGTACCTGATCACGATTCAAGTCTGTCATGGATATCAAATGTCAGTGCCTTTGAAATGTAACGAATTCATACCAATACAGTGGAAAATTACCGTTCTCAAACTAAAGGGTCACTTTATCGGATGACACTTTCTTTGATAAAGTTGGTAAACCTGGCTGTAGAAGATCAGTTTGCATAGTCGAGTTCAACATGTATGCTTCAGATTGATGTGTGTCTCTCTCTCACTCACTTCCAAGGTAAATCTTTGTGCCATTCAGCTTTTGCCGCAAATTGTGCTGCACAAATACATAATGTGCACTGCTGCGGCCCAGCTAATGACTCCTCCCACTGTCACATTGTAGAGTGGATCAGCAAGGAGTTTTTGCCTGAGAACAGACGCCGATTGAAAGCTGCTCATCGCTACCTGACGGATGAGTTGCAGACAATGGACATTCACTACCTGGACAGTTCTGCTACTTTGTATGTCTGGGCTGACTTCAGGAAGGTAACTTGACCAAGGTCACATTGTGATGCTCTGGATGCTGGGTTGATAATCAAATGCTAATTTGTGCAAAGGTAATTGGATAGCAAGCTGAAAGTCATCGTCTTTAAAATCATTGTATTCACTGGGTTTGATGCCACTTGCGTGTCTCTTTTGTTAGTTTCTCAGATCCCCATCATTTGAGGAGGAGTTGTATATGTGGCGATGCTTCCTCAAACATAACGTTGTCTTAAGCTGTGGGCAAGCCTTCTCCTGCTGTACACCTGGCTGGTTTCGCATCGTATTCGCTGACCAACAGGACCACCTTCAACTTGGTCTGTCATTATCTATACAGGAGTAATATTTAGTATAGCCAATTGTGTATATGCCATTGTCTACGAATTAACAAGTACCGTATGTTTTTTAAATTTTTTTATTTGTATAGGTGATAGGGGAACAAAGCCGTGCCACCAATAGTGAACGGCAAATAATTGCCCCCTTGCCCCCAAAGAAAATAGGTTATATTTCCCTATAGAAGCCACAGGGTGGCAGCAAAGCCCTACTTTTGTCTAAGTGAAGCTCTGCAATTTACCCGTTCTTCAACAAAACTCATTGGCACCAAAATGTCACCAGATTGTGGCTAAGCAATACTTTTATTGTTTTGCCCTGAGCAAATTAGCAGTTAGAAAATGCCAAACTGAGATTATTTTATAAATGATCAATCATTAGCCTTGTCTGTGTGCCGAACAATGTAACATTACATTCATACGAGGGTATCGGTTTACAGCTAAGTACACTTGCACTTGTCACATTTCAGTATTTAAGATGCACATATTCTACAGCTGAAAAAAAATGCCTTTTTTTTTTTTTGCTATCCAAGGGGAGTTTACTCAAATGTCAAATGTTTAGCTTAAACTTTAAGGGTTAAGGAGTCCTTAGTAAAAATGTATGAAATGAACACTCAACCTTTTGTTTATTGCGCAATAAATGAATGAATAGCTTTGATATTACTTGCTCAGATCCTCGTTCATACGTTAACTGAATTCCAATTGCTGACTTCTTTTGTGTTCACTTTGTTTTGTTTTGTTTTAGGACTCAAAAGAATCAGAGAGGCCTTAAAAGAAATCAAAGAAAGCAGTACCAACAGAGATTTCTTCATTGTCAAAGAAGCCAGTGAGGAGAGCGAGAGACCAGTGAATGAGGACAGTGCACCTTCCGACAATGCTACTATTGAAAATTCAACATCATCCCCCCAGAGCAAGTCATCAGACCAGCTGAAGGAGAAGGCGTGTTCTGTTCTTGACACGAGCTCGCTGGGCCCTGATGAGCTTGTGTTGCTTGACTGCCAAGCCGCTAAGCCTGCAGAGAGCCTGGACACTCTGATTGGTACTCTCAAGCATCAAATCCGCTCTTCTGATTGGTTGGAAAAGAACACGCCAGAGCGGTCTGCAGGGGAGGACCCAGAGATTCTTGATGTTTTTCAAACCCTTTTGGCACAAGCCAGAAAGTAAAATTATGGATAAACAGGCAAAGATGTGGCTGCCAAATTACAGCGAGCAGCACCTAAGAAACTCTGTTGTGACTTTATGTTTATGGCGAAAAGCTCAACACCCAAAGGGGGTCGGTTGATTTTTTTTTTTTTTTTTAAATGTATTTCTATTTATGGGAGCGGGGGGTGGGGCTCAAGCTGAGAGACCGACCGCAAGAATTAGGTATTTGGTTGACCAGGCTTTATATCTGAAATGATGCTTTATAGTTGGGATTTGATGGGAGACCAATTTGCTTTGCAATCCATCCATAGGCATGATATTTGTATGATAAGATAAGAAACCTGTATTCGTCTCACAATGGAGAAATTCGCAATCTACAGCAGCAAAATTTACAGGGAAGAAAAAAAAACCCTAAATATTTGCATGCACACATACATTTTAAACAAATGAACTGTACACAGTACAGAATGCAATGTAAAATATAAGATATAAGCATATATGCAACTGCTTATATATGCTGCATAAGGTGGCTATGCTATTTACAATGGGTGAGTGGGGTGGAGTCCAGGTTTTCACGTGTGTTTATTCAGCAGCCTGACAGCAGTCGGCAGGGACGAGAGGCGGTACCTCTCCCTCTTGATGAATTAAATGTCAAATGTAATGAAACCAAAACAACCAACATTAAAATTTTTCTGATCCAATTTCATTGTATTCGAATTTTCATATATACACTCATAACAGCAGTCATTTTACATTAAGATTTTTTTAAGCTTTATTTATTCAGCAAGCCAATTAAGAATAGATTTTCAACTTTTGCAATTTTGACTTGGCTGCATTTGAATATGTATTGATAATCTTTGCTCTATAATTACATAGTATGCTTTATGTACAAAAAATGTGCATCACCATTGAAGAGAGTAAGGACTTGGTCCCCCTTTGCAAGTAAAACAGCTTACACTTTATCTGTATCTGTGTGTGTGTGTGTGTGTGTGTGTGTGTGTGTGTGTGTGTGTGTGTGTGTCTATAAAAAAATGTTTATTGAGTCATGCAGCTCACTGATGCAAGACTCAAGGGCCTGGCTCACAATTTCTGCTGTAGTTCTTCCCAAAACTGTTTGATAAGCTTGAGGCCAGGGCTCCTGGGTTCTACCGAACCAGATTCACCCAAGCATGATTGGACATTACTTTGTGACCTGCGGCAGTCATTCCTGAAAAGAAAAATACATTCTCCAAACTTTTCTTATAAAGTTGGAAGGAAATATTTTTTTCCCCCCAATTGTCATTGGCAAATGAAAACTGAAAAAAATGCTGTGGGAAATAAGGAGTCTTTCTTTCCAAGTGGTAATTGATTCACTGAAAAGACAACGGTGTCACAATGCCTTTTTCCATGCTGATACTGTATCATTATATTTTGTCATCATGTAGAGGATAAAATAAAACATACTGTATGCATTTTAGAATTGATATCCAGCTGAGTTTCTTAGTACAGTACAAGTTATAAAACCTTGTGTGGGCTGTAGCAGTTCTGCCTCAAGAATGCAAAGCGAAGAGAGCGATAGTTGAACGACAAAGGGGAGCCATTTGTGATGACACTTTGTGTGTGTGTGTGTGTGTGTGTGTGTGTCTATAAAAAAATGTTTATTGAGTCATGCAGCTCACTGATGCAAGACTCAAGGGCCTGGCTCACAATTTCTGCTGTAGTTCTTCCCAAAACTGTTTGATAAGCTTGAGGCCAGGGCTCCTGGGTTCTACCGAACCAGATTCACCCAAGCATGATTGGACATTACTTTGTGACCTGCGGCAGTCATTCCTGAAAAGAAAAATACATTCTCCAAACTTTTCTTATAAAGTTGGAAGGAAATATTTTTTTCCCCCCAATTGTCATTGGCAAATGAAAACTGAAAAAAATGCTGTGGGAAATAAGGAGTCTTTCTTTCCAAGTGGTAATTGATTCACTGAAAAGACAACGGTGTCACAATGCCTTTTTCCATGCTGATACTGTATCATTATATTTTGTCATCATGTAGAGGATAAAATAAAACATACTGTATGCATTTTAGAATTGATATCCAGCTGAGTTTCTAGATACAGTACAAGTTATAAAACCTTGTGTGGGCTGTAGCAGTTCTGCCTCAAGAATGCAAAGCGAAGAGAGCGATAGTTGAACGACAAAGGGGAGCCATTTGTGATGACACTTTGAAAAGTCGAGGGTGGGTTTCTCTCACTGTGCTGTCACACGCAGCGGCGCAATGGCACCAACAAAGTACTGTATCTCACACAAATATGAGCGCGCAGCTGGCTTGCTTTTCATTTTTGTTTTTCGTTTGTCAAGCTTCCTCAACTTGGCCTACCACGTGTTCTGTTCACTTTCAGTGTGAGATGATGGGCTGCAGAGATGTCATGGGAATATGATACAACTAGGGGTGTTTCCACTTCAATGTAGGCGGAGTATGACGAAGGGGGTTGATCTGCGGGTTGAGCACTGCAGAAAAATGAATATGTGAGGAGGTGTTGAGTAAAGTACAGTAGAGGTACAGCCAAGAGAGACTGAAATGCTTTAATTTAGCTTTGGGCTTTCATATTATTTCTAACAGCTCAAACAAAGGTAAGGTCATTATCATCATTTGGCATCATAAAACAGGTTTGTATTTGATAAACAATGTGAACTTTGAAGGATGGTTAACTTGCAATTTTTCACTTCTGTTTCCCCCACTCTTAGTGCTCACTAACATGAAGTTGCCAGAATTAAAGGACACAATCAGTCGCTTTAGGTTCACACAATCTTGTGTGGGGCTTAGTGGTTGCCTGTGTGTGTCTTATGCGGTCTGGACACCCTTCTGGTTAAAGGATGGCGGACTCTGGACTGAGTGGAATGACACAAGGGGTGACCGTGGCGGTAATGGTGTGATCTTCAACGGTGAGCATGAAGTGCCAATTAGTGTTTAATGGCTTTCAAACATAAAAGCAATTGCAAACTTAAACATTTGTCTTTTATGCTGAAAATAAGCAAACCTGCTTTACCACAAGTCAGGCTTTGGGAGTCATACCTCATGGTTAACATCAGCGCCTTTTCTGAAGACAAACAAGTTTGAGCTTGCTTCTGTGCTGAGAGGTGCATTCTTTTTACCAACTAGAGCTTACATTTGCTGGATTGGAGACATGCACTTGACCAGCTTGAAAGTACCGGTAGTTAAAAATCTTTCATTTATTTCGATATGTTGTTTTTTTTTTTTTTTGAAAGTTGCTGTGGAAGAAAAGGAAAATTCCTGCAACATGTTTGTTGCAGGAATGTCAAACTAACGTTATGCGTTCCACACAGTAGTTATGGTTTCCTTCCAAAGGCCAATATGACTGCGCAAAACATCAGTCACCTCATTTTATTATGTCATTCACGTACAGTAGACAACTGCCCCTGCATTTCATTGTCGTGCCTATTTTTTAACAACTAATTGCATTTCAAATGGTGAGAACCAAATATTTAAGCATACCATTGTTTAATTTGTGAAAGTGATTTGGTGAGAACAAAATACTGGGAAAAAAATGCTTGACTTTTTGCTTTGTCACCTAGATCAGATTTTTCTGCCAAAATGAAAATAACTAATCCATTTAGCAAGAAATGTGACGATGATGGACTGATGATGATGGACTGATTTGATTTAGATACGCTTTATTTGATTTGGTAGGCCTCAAAAATTGCTGCGGGATGCTGGATGTGGCCCACGGGCCACGAGTTTGACACATATGTTTGATAGTAACAGGCTCCAAACAGTAGCACATTGAGACCCCAAATTTGTGTTTTGGCACATGAAAAAAATAAATGGAGCATCTATTAAATACTACAAAAAAAAGATAGACCTACCACATCATTATAACAATTTGCACTTCTAAATGCTCTCCAATGTAAGCATTATATCAGCCGTAGTGGGCATTGTCAGTCCAGTGATTCTGTCAGTGAGCTGCCATCAGTATTTGAGGCCGGCCAAGTCTGTCCGGGTCACCGGTGACAACCAGATGGCATTGAAAATGGATTTTTTCCAATGTCAGACCACATGAATGTAGTCCGATTTTGAGCCGACAGACGTTTCGCAGACAAACGTTATATAATGTCTTGTAGCCGATTAAGAGATGTGTTTTGACACATTGTAACCCGTTAAGTGTAACATACTAAACAATTGGTCGTCTGGCGTCTGGGATTCTTCACAACCACGACAAGGAAAGTTTGGCCTGTCAGAATTTCTGCTCGTCTTACCACATAGTGTGACATGTTCCATGTTGTCCTTCGATCAGTTCTTTGGCATTGACCAATGGGAAGACAAGTGCGCTCTACTTATGTTGAGAGACCGGACGTGGCGCACACAATCACAATGTGGTGCACAGTATGGAAAAAGCGACTTATTGGGGAAATATTGGAAAGTATACGTATCATTTCAACTCATTCAATGTTTAATAACCACAAAGCTAGTAGCTGATTAGCAAACATGGTGTCATGAAACAAATTTGTCTTTTTGGAGAATGGACAGTCCATACTGCCCTCCCCCACCATCCTGAAACAGGTCCATAGAGTATTTTTCTTTTCCTTTTCTGAGCAGAAAACAAACACACATGCACATAATGCCTCCATCTTTGACAGATGCTCAGACCTCAATGACATTCTTTTTATTTCACCAATCACCACGCCGTGCGTGTGTTTTTATTTTTATTCTATTCTTTATATGGCTGCGTGTCAGTGCCTGTATGTGACTTGAATATGACGGTCTCGATACCGATTGGCTATCGCCGACGAGGAATGGATGGAGTCGACGTGGTTTGGCCCGAAATACTGATGGAAACGGTGATGGACTGACGGCGTTTCCGTCAGTCTAACAGAATGCCCACCTCAGGTAACAAAGATACATTATTTGTTATAAATAGTAATTTTCAGAACAATCAAGTTTCCTGTGGCACAGCTGATGATCTCTAACAGCACACTGGTTGGGAATCACTGCTCTGCCAGACTAAAAAGTGATGTGAGGTTTACAAAAACGAATGAAGAGTGAACAACTTTTAGAGCAAGTAAGCACATTTTTCTCGCGGAAGTTTCAAGAAAAGTGGAAGAAGAGAGTGAAGTCTGGGCTTTCCTGCTAAAGCTGTTGCCCCCACGACTTGACCCCGGATAAGCGGAAGAAAAAGGAACGGGTGGATGGAAGTTTCAAGAAAGCGTCACTCATATTGACTTGTCTTTATTTTGTGCCTGTTACGATGCAGCCCTACAAGCAGAGCGAGTTTTTGGGGTTCTGTCCTTCCTATTGGCCTTGAGCGCAGGGGCTCTCTCGCTTGTTTTTGCCCTCTGCTGGACATCAGAGACAGTGCGTTCCTACTCCAACACTCGCGCTCTGCTGATGGCAGGCCAGGCACTCTATCCCACCACCTTGTTGCTCCTCACCATGTCATCTACAGGTAATAGCATTACATGCCCAAGATGACTTTCATTTGACTGAGTAACAGTGTCGGAAATATGAATAATCAGTGTCAGTTTTTCACTAATGCACCGCAAGTAATTGTCAGGTAAAAACAGTCAGTAATCAAACAGCCGGTGGTGCTGTATTTTTCTCATGTACATTTTATTTTTAACACTGGGAAGTTATGGACCAAAAATTGTGAAACTAACCCCACTGAAACCCTCCACTTCAGTTAAATGAAGATAAAATTATCCATCGGCGTATCTATAAACAGTTGTCTGTGTGCTACACATAGACGGCTCCAGAATTTTTTTTCTGCCCTGAGGCTAAAGGGAGCACATAGGGGAGCTGAGGAAATCATTCATAAATGTATTTTATAACCCGACGGGGTTATAAATACTTTAAAATATGTTCAAACGTATTTACAAGTTCTCAAGTATTTACAACATACTTGTAGGCTAAATGCTAAAAACTGAACATTTTTCCCCACATAATGCCGCAGGGTATGGGGTTGCCATGCGCAAGTTTTTTTTTTTGAGCATTATACCATGAAGTTAGAAAATTAGGTAAAAATGCAGAATGGAAATCATGCACTGCAGACATCATAATAAATCATTAAAAATTATCACTAAACAATGTTAACTTAATTTTCAAATGTATTGGTATAATGTCGGCCAAATGTTAAAAAAATAGCATTATTTTTATTTGCACACGTGCAAGTCAATACCCCAGGGCAATTATGTGGAAAAAAAGTTATTAACATTAAGTCAACAAGTACATTTGAACGTACTTTCAAATATGTTCCAATGTGTTTGCGAATATGTTTGAACATATTCGCAAACATCTTTGAATGTATTTGGCAGTCAAAAATGTTAACTCCACTTGGGAGTTCTACGCTTCCGTACATTTTTTATTTATTTTTTGGTCTTTTCTAAATACACAAAAGAGCAAAAGACATCTATCTCCTGGATCTGGTGGGACATTGTTGCTGTCTTGTATTACTTTTAAATATAGCAGACTTTCTGAGCAAAGTCCTAAAAATAGCAGAGTTTTCTTTTAACCTCCAAAAAGACTTTGTTGTGTTGGTTTGGGTTGGTTTCAAGAAGACTTTAATGTGTTGCATTTACATATCCTCAAGGGCAGCATGTATTTAAATAGACTTTTTAATTTCCTTGTTCATTATCATAAAAACACGTTTGTAAAGCTTGAGGCATCCAATAATAGACCTTAACGACGTTTTTCATTTTGTGACTCGTGGTTTTACCACTTGTTTTTTTCCTTCCATTGGCAGGTTTCTTCTTCCTACTCAGCTGGTCCTTTTTCACCTATCATCACTCTGAAGAAATCTACCAGGACTTTTCCATCTTAGGCTCGTCTTACTGGCTGGGGGCTTTAGGCTGGATCCTATTGTTGGTTGTCGAAACGATCATCTTCGTAGCTGAGCAAGCTATTGTGCCAGACATCCTAGAAGACCTGGAGAAGGCACTGAAGTCATGGCGGGTCAACTCTCGGCTCAATCGTAGCTTCAGTGATGGTTGTCCTCACCTTGCAATCAGTAAAAGTAAGATAGCTCCAAAGCGGTACATGTCAGTACCTTGAATGGGCTCCGACACATGGATATGACAGCGAAAATGAGTGCAATACTTTCACATGAATATGTTCAAACTCAATGTGGAAAACAGCATCTTCCAAACATATGAACTCACAAAAAGACACTTAAGCCCGATTTCCTAACGGTTTGCAAAGTGATTTATCACACCTGACTGAGCAATAGCTTATTTTTCGTTTTTAAATACAGCGACGCAAAGGCTGCTGAAAACAGCACCTCTGTGTCGAACCGTGTTGAGAAGGTGCAGACAAAGTGAGAGGTGATGGGGAAAACAGATCTTTTGTGCTTGAGTAAATGTTTTTCAAATGCTCGAATCAAAAATGATGCTGATATATTGTTTGTTCGCCAATGCGATTTTGGAGCTTTGTTGAATGACGTAAGGGATTACAAAAGACTTCCAACTTTGTATTTCCTCGTGTGTGCTCATTTCAGTGCACTGTGACAATTGCCTGGTGCAGTTTTTTCGAGTGTGCTATCCCAAGTATTGTATTGAACGTTCTGAATGTCATTCAGAATGGGTACTCGGGCTTTTCTGCAGTTGCTGGCTACACCAAAATTGCACAGGTGATCGATTTGTTCTTTGTGGCTCAATAATATGTTTGTTTTCCACTAACACTTCCAATTCCACAACTTCAAACTTAATTTGTTCTCAGATGCCATCCCAAATGTTCCATGATGAAAACCATCTGCAATACCTTAAGCGCAAAAACCTCTTTTAATGCGGCTCCCTCCCCCACTTGGACACCTGTTGCCATCGCTTGGCGCAATCTGTTAGAGACTGAACGTGCTATTCAGCTTCTGTTGTGTGGGATCTTGGGAAAAGATTGTAATCTTAGGACATCGTGTCCAACATGTCCAACCAAGAGCGCGCACAGTAAGTTGGAGTGAACACGCAGTTCAGGGCCTGCTTTTTGGGATCTTTCTAAATCAGCCTCAAAGTTACTGGCTCCACAATTGGATGGCTGGCGACCAGTCCAGTTCTCTTGCCCAATACATGTTTATTTATATAGCGCTTTCACAACAGCTGCAGCTCTATTATGGGTCAGTTGAACATTTTTACAACAATAAAAGTATCATTCATTTGCAAATACATTCAATGGAACAATATTTTCCTTCTCTTTAAACGCGGTCATACATAGTTATGTACTTGAGAGCATGGTGGACGAGTGTTGAGCACATCTGCCTCGCAGTACAGAGGTTTTTGGGTTAGGATCTCTGCTTCGTCCCTACTGTGTGGCGTTTGTGTGTTTTTCCAAGCTTCCATGAGTTTTTTTGCAGGTACTACGCCTTCTACTCACATTCCAAAACACGCTTACTGGGTTCACCGAAGACTAAATTTTCCATAGGTGTGAATATAAGCACTATAGAAAATGGATGGATGGATAGTTATTTACTTGATCTATGGTTTTTTTTGTTTGTTTGTTTGTTTTTTTAAATAGATACGAACATACGGAAGCGGTGGAACTATGGTGGGACGCCACTCATTCCCTACCGTGGACATTTATTTTTCTCATTTGGAATCCAACCATTCACTGCCACTGACCGATGTATTTGTCAAGTACGATTTTCAGCGGGTAGGTGGGGAAGAGGGTCTCTTCTATTGTTTCTCTTTATTTGGAAGTCTTTTTAAGAACTTAAATGCAATGATTGGGGTGCCATTGATGCGCCCATTTGCTCCTTTTAGCACACATCTTATCACACCCCTTATTTAATGCACTGGGTGGTGTCTCTCTGACCATATGATGCTTATCTGTAGCATAATTACATCAAAGATGAACATGAACAACAGAGTGCATTTCAGCATGGTTGTTACAAACTGTTTCACAGCCTCTGCATAAATATTGTACATACAGATGGTACTGTAAATACTGTATCATACATAGACATTAAAAAAACAATTCGGCACCACCGTGTTAATGTCTTTACGGGACTATTTTAGGCTTCTATTTTTATGTTTGTCTCCTTGGTTTTTTTGTTTTTGTTTTTTTTAAAGGCAGGCATGTCCAAAAGTGCCGTTTAAAACACAAACACGACCTCTTCAATTGGAGCAACAGCTATTTACATTGTACTGAGGATCTGTTGCAGGTGTTTGTCACCGAGTATTTTGGCTGTTCAGATAAATGTTATCTTTTCAGCTAAATAAACCAAATCCTTTCAAGGTTTTCATTTGTCTGCTTGTTGTATCCGGGTGTGACAATGCATGCATCATCCTATTGTGAGTTAGAAGTGTGCTGCGAAAAGATCGCTGCTGCCATGTGTTAGGACCACCAGACCACCAGCAGACTGACTCCAAAGACATTACATTTAACGTCTCACATTCCCCTGACTAGGGGTACCACCGACTTTAGGCTGCTTCTGCTTGTTTTCTCAATGTGCCAAAGTGGGAAAATTAAGAGGCCTCGGCTTTGTTAATTGGGCGTTAATCAGATGATGCTCTGATTAAAAGGCAGTTCCACCCTGTTGGACCCTGCTAATAAATTTGTTATTTAATCCACAGAGGATTTTTGTCTCTTTTTCAATTTAGCAACGGGGTGGTGCTTAATTGCTGTGTAAATGAGGCAAACGTCCTTGAGGGTCATCCTGCATCAGCTCTCAAACCACAAATAGAATCCCACCTAAACATAAAACTATCCAATTCACTGTGGAGTGTACTCTTGTGTCCACCTGTGCCTCTCAGCATTTGCTATTGTTTGAGGTCCGCCCACTCCTCTCGAAAAGAAAGCTCTTAAAATCTAATTTGATACATGAGAGAACTGGAAACCCACTTTATGTCTAATAGGGAAATACTTTTCAAATGGATTCATTCTTACTTGAAGCTTCTATTCTCTCTTGCAAGGTGGCATATCATCCCATGGCAGTATCAATTCCAATGTCCAGCAACAAACATTTAGACTTCCTGCTTTGGGGGAGGTTCGAGAGGGAGGGGGGGGGGGATTTTTCAAAATGTCTTCAAAAAAGAAGTGCGAATCAAGCTACAGTGAAAAAAAGAGGAAGCAATACCAGGCGGACGCAACCAGAGAGATACGAGATTGTGGATGCTGATGATTGAAGGGCATTTGCTAAACTGACATCAATCAGAGGACGTCTCCCTGCTTAAAGGCCACTGGCACTTCCTGCAGGCAGCTGGCAGCATGTATAGAACACAACCTGTGCTCATCCAATGCTTTCATACCAATTAGAGACTCATTATCCAGCCATGTCGTGCTAATTATGTTACACCACGCCCAACAGGAAGAAAGCTTAGTATGTACTTGCCGTTCTGTAGTTGCGCTAACTGAGTTAAATAAATGTACCGAGAAAGCATTGTAAGATTTTACAGATACGTTTGCAGGAGACCAAAGTGTGCCACTGGCTGAAGCAAGCAGTTTCCTATTTGGCCTGTTGGTGGTGCTAGTGTAACATTCATATTTTACAATGTCATTTGGCGAAGCAGAGGAAATCTAGTCGGATGAGTAATGCAGCATACGTATCCGCAGGTATACATGCATTTATTTATTTATTTTTATTCTGTGAAATAGGTAGAATGAGACAAGTATAAAAAACCAAATAATATGTTGACTGCCAGACGCCATTTTTGAAGCACAATAAATTATCAAATAAAGCCAGGCTTTCATGCTTTTTACGATTTCATTTCTTTGGAGATTACATAATTCGGTTTGAACATTTTCAACTTTCCTGATAGATTAGTACGACTGTGTTGAAAGTTAAAAAGAAAAAAAAAAGTGGAAACGTGCATACTACAAGACAGCAGGAGAAGAGCAGACTCGAGATGAGGGAGAAGAGAGCAGAGAACAAAGAGTTGGAGGGAGGATTTTCGACGCCGTAGAATAGCTTCACAATGCCCCTGAAATCTGTAGAGCATTGTGATGAACCTTCTACCTCACTCTTGTTCCATCTCCCTTGTCATCATCATCCCTCTTTTGCCTCGAAACATCTGATGTAGTTGAAATAAGAACATGGCCACTGCAATACTGTGTCCTTCACTGCATCAAGTGGACACTTTTGGAGAAGTCAGGAATTTCGATGTGAACGGCTCCACAATCTTTGAAAAAGCCTAAAGAGGGAGGGAGGGATGCGGGATGCGAATATACATTGTGTCCTTCAGCCATGCTTTTTGCCAAGACTTCAGTTCATCTCGCCTGTGGAATCCTCAATGAGCCACTGCTCTTTGTGATGGACGCGCCACCCAGCCTACCCTGCTGATTACATTTGTCCACCAGAACTGACATTGAAACGAGACAGACAGAAGGAAGAAGAGTTTCAGTCTTTTTCCTGCACTTGAATTTGCCCTGAGAAGACATAAGTCTTTGCATTGCTCAACCCTTAATGCTGTTTGGTACGTTAACGTTGCTTTTGTGTCCTTGACTTCTTATTGAATCATCACATGTACTATAAATTCCCACTGGGTCCTTTGCTCATGCAAGTGGTGTCGTCTTTGACATCTACGTTCAAACAATGAAGCTTTAGTTCCGTTCGAACCTCGCTCTAGTCAACATTGGCCAACTGTAGCCGTTCCATTCTCTTATCTGTGTGACCAAGGAAATTAAATTACAAATATAATCACTTCCCGCCCGTTTCTTTAACAATGCGCCTCTGCTTTGCATATAGAGTGTACTTGCTTTGCAGACACACACTGTGAGGTTACTTATTGGCTTATTTACAATAATGGGCTGAGCTCCACAAGAATAGTCACACGTAACTTCTCATAATGGCATGAGGAGGCGGAATGAGGGAATACAAATACCTTTGCTTCTGATATCTAGAGGACAGGTAATTTTTGAAAATACCGTGCTGCATTCAGTATGCAGATAAAACATGATGATGCCAAGACACCCAACGACAAATCAGGCATGTTAACCATTTGTTTCAAAGCGCAGTACACTAGTAGTCCCTTTGAAAAGAAAAGCTGAAAACAAATGAACCTAAGTATGTCCAGGCAGTTTTATAATTCTCATCCATTTGACCCAATGCTTTGGATACAGCGTCGGTGACTTCCTCGCCGTGCCAAGAGCCTTTTGAAGATGGTTTTCTCTTCAGCTCAAATCAATTTTGCACACGATAGACCATCTGACTGAATAAACAATCCCCATCTTTCATCTCTTTCCTCCCTCCATTGCACCAGCAGGTCTTTCACTGAAAGGGAAGGGATGAAAATCACTGCATATCACAGTCATGTGGGAGCAAGCTGATAAAGCCTGAGTGAGTATGAATAGAAGAATAGAGGTTATAATGACACACCATACTTGCTTCCTTCCCTAAATCCCTATTCAGGTCAGACTGTAAATACTTATGCAGAGTCTGCTGCACTTGACTGCATAAACTGATCTTCAAATGCAGAACTGTATCAATACCTCAACATCCAGTACATCAGGCCCCAAGTAGACAGGTGGATATTGATTGACTTACGA